AAATAAATAAATAAATAAATAAATAAATGAGAAATAAACAATTCATTTTTTTTCTTTTAAAAATGTGAAAATAACTATATTTTATATATTATTGTTTACGTTGTCCTACATTTAAATTAATTTGTGATATGAAATCTTGAATTACAGTGAGACTTGAACATATAATAAAAATAAAATTGATAGTATAAGTAATAATAAAAAAGTGTTAAAAGAATTATGGAAGGAATATTTAATATTAGCGGTGTTAAAATAAATAAAAAAGAAATAAAAGGGAGAGGAGAGTGAGATAAGGACCAGCGCGTTTTGCTTGAGGTGCAAGGATTTTGCAGCAGGAAGAAGCCTATATAAACGCTTCTCCTTTGACCTATTTTTATTTTTATTATTATTCTCCAAACAACACAACGCAACTTCAACACCTTTGGCTTTCAGCACCCGAAACCCAACCCAACCAGGTTTCACTTTCTCTCAATACTCTTATTTATTTATTCTTTAACTTGTTTTACATCCCTCGCACTTCTTTTCATTTCCAGACTTTACTTCTGACTTAGGCATGTTAATTCATGGTTGATATTCGTATGCCTCTCTTTTACTTTTAGGGTTCGTATTATTAGGGTTTTCCATTTTTCATTTCTCATCAACATTTTTCTTCTCAATTTCAATCCACCTTTCTCATGAACTCAATTTCCACGTGTCAGTTGGAGAGCTATCGATTAGAGTCACGCAGGATGAGCTCGCAAGAGCGAAGCCAGCGGTCTAGGGTTCCTCGTCAGGAATGGATTCGTCGAGGATCTACCGATCAGAGTCAGAGTCAGATTCAGAATCAGAATCAAAATGGTGCCGCCACTGCCGCCGCCACCGCTGCTGGTTCATCCAATACAACAAATCGCCATAGGAGGAGCGGTCCTATTCCTAGTCCCAATCCCAATTCCAATCCCAATCCCAATCCTAATCCCAATCCCAATCCCAATCCGAAGAATAATGTGCAGAAGAGATTCAATTCGAGGGACTCTAATTTGCCCCAGCTGTTGCAAGAGATTCAGGAGAAGCTCGTGAAAGGTGCGGTCGAATGCATGATTTGCTGTGACATGGTGCGGAGGTCTGCGCCAATTTGGTCTTGCTCCAGTTGCTTCTCCATCTTTCACCTTAATTGTATAAAGAAGTGGGCGCGTGCACCCACTTCTGTGGATGTGTCTGTGGACAAGAATCAGCGGTTTAATTGGCGGTGCCCTGGTTGTCAATCTGTGCAGCTCACATCGTCCAAGGAGATTCGGTATGTTTGCTTCTGTGTGAAGAGGCCTGACCCCCCTTCCGACTTGTATCTCTTGCCACATTCCTGTGGAGAACCATGTGCCAAACCCCTTGAAAGGGAGCTTGGGGGGGATAAGGAGGTTCTTTGTCCTCATGTTTGTGTCTTGCAATGCCATCCCGGTCCTTGCCCTCCTTGCAAAGCATTTGCACCTCCACGTTTGTGTCCTTGTGGGAAGAAAAATGTTACCACCCGTTGTTCTGACCGCCAGTCTGTTCTTACCTGTGGCCAGCGCTGTGAAAAGCTTCTTGAATGTGGGCGGCATCGGTGTGAACAAATCTGTCATCTGGGACCTTGTGATCCTTGTAAGATTCCTGTCAATGCCTCTTGCTTTTGCAGTAAAAGGACGGAGCTCATTCTTTGTGGGGAAATGGCTCTGAAAGGTGAAATCAAAACCGAAGGTGGAGTTTTCTCTTGCGGTTCAACCTGTGGAAAGAAACTTGGTTGCGGTAATCATATTTGTATCGAGACGTGTCATCCCGGCAGCTGTGGGGAGTGTGGATTGTTACCATCCCATATTAAGACATGCTGTTGTGGGAAAACTAGATTGAAGCAGGAACGACAGAGTTGTTTAGACCCTATACCTACCTGTTCACAAGTATGTGGGAAGACCCTTCCTTGCGGGATTCATCATTGTGAAGAGGCATGCCACGCTGGGGATTGTTCTCCTTGTTTGGTTCTAGTCTCCCAGAAGTGTCGATGTGGCTCTACTTCCCGAACTGTGGAGTGCTGTAAGACAAAAGTGGACGCTGTGAAATTTACTTGTGAAAAGCCTTGTGGGCAGAAAAGGAATTGTGGAAGGCATAGATGCAGTGAACGGTGTTGTCCACTTTCTAATCCAAATAATGTTCAAATTGCGGATTGGGATCCACACTTCTGTTCATTACCATGTGGAAAGAAGCTAAGGTGTGGGCAGCATGCATGTGAATCCCTATGCCACAGTGGTCATTGTCCACCTTGTCTTGAAACTATATTTACTGATTTGACATGTGCTTGTGGCAAGACTTCAATCCCTCCTCCATTGCCTTGTGGCACACCTCCTCCCTCGTGTCAGCTTCCATGTTCTGTTCCTCAGCCTTGTTCACATCCAGCGTCTCACAGCTGCCATTTTGGGGATTGCCCTCCTTGTTCAGTGCCTGTAGCAAAAGATTGTATTGGTGGGCATGTAATTCTTCGGAACATACCCTGTGGTTCAAAGGATATTAGATGCAATAAACTATGTGGGAAGACCAGACAGTGCGGTTTACATGCATGTGGTAGAACATGTCACCTCCCACCTTGTGATAATCCATCTACAGTGCCGGGTACCCGTGCCTCTTGTGGGCAAACATGTGGTGCTCCAAGAAGGGACTGCCGCCATACATGTACAGCTCCTTGTCACCCTTCAACTCCATGTCCAGACACGAGATGCGAATTCCCTGTCACAATTACATGTTCTTGTGGCCGAATGACAGCGAATGTTCCTTGTGATGCTGGTGGAAGCTCTGCTAATTATAATGCCGATGCTGTACACGAAGCTTCCATTATCCAAAAGTTGCCTGTGTTGCTTCAACCTGTTGCTGCAAATGGCAAGAAAGTTCCTCTTGGACAAAGAAAACTGATGTGTAATGATGACTGTGCTAAGTTAGAACGTAAACGGGTACTTGCAGATGCCTTTGAGATAACTGCTCCAAATCTGGATTCTCTCCATTTTGGTGACAATCCTGGTACTTCTGAATTGCTTTCTGACATGTTGAGACGTGATCCTAAATGGGTTTTATCTGTTGAGGAGAGATGCAAGGTTTTGGTTCTTGGCAAGAACAGGGGAAATACACAAGGTCAAAAAATCCATATTTTCTCTCCTATGATAAAGGACAAAAGAGATGCAGTGAGGGTCATTGCTGAAAGATGGAAGCTTGCGGTGTATGTAGCTGGTCGTGAGCCAAAGCGTTTTGTAGTTGTTCATGTTACCCCAAANCAAAATTTATTCAAAACAATTGCCTTTTCTTTAACATATGTTTTTGTTATACCAATATAAGGGTAAGTCGATAATTTCACGATCCCATGAGATCCAAGTTGAAATTATGGGGGTGTAGAAAGAGATGTCCATCTTCGCTCAAAACCTGAAAAGGAGCTCGAAAATTGAAATGACGGGTGTACACTGTAAAAGTCCAAGTTTCCATAATTGGATCATCAATCGTTGACTTTTCTTTCCTGACGTTTTATTTTGACTCATTTCTGGACCAAACCTTACACATTGAAACAATCATTCACTAACCTTATTCTTAGTCGCCAAGGAAAAAAAATAAGGGATTGATGGCGAATACAATTACACAAAGAGAAATAAATAAATAAATAAATAAATAAATGAGAAATAAACAATTCATTTTTTTTCTTTTAAAAATGTGAAAATAACTATATTTTATATATTATTGTTTACGTTGTCCTACATTTAAATTAATTTGTGATATGAAATCTTGAATTACAGTGACACTTGAACATATAATAAAAATAAAATTGATAGTATAAGTAAATAATAAAAAAGTGTTAAAAGAATTATGGAAGGAATATTTAATATTAGCGGTGTTAAAATAAATAAAAAAGAAATAAAAGGGAGAGGAGAGTGAGATAAGGACCAGCGCGTTTTGCTTGAGGTGCAAGGATTTTGCAGCAGGAAGAAGCCTATATAAACGCTTCTCCTTTGACCTATTTTTATTTTTATTATTATTCTCCAAACAACACAACGCAACTTCAACACCTTTGGCTTTCAGCACCCGAAACCCAACCCAACCAGGTTTCACTTTCTCTCAATACTCTTATTTATTTATTCTTTAACTTTTTTTACATCCCTCGCACTTCTTTTCATTTCCAGACTTTACTTCTGACTTAGGCATGTTAATTCATGGTTGATATTCGTATGCCTCTCTTTTACTTTTAGGGTTCGTATTATTAGGGTTTTCCATTTTTCATTTCTCATCAACATTTTTCTTCTCAATTTCAATCCACCTTTCTCATGAACTCAATTTCCACGTGTCAGTTGGAGAGCTATCGATTAGAGTCACGCAGGATGAGCTCGCAAGAGCGAAGCCAGCGGTCTAGGGTTCCTCGTCAGGAATGGATTCGTCGAGGATCTACCGATCAGAGTCAGAGTCAGATTCAGAATCAGAATCAAAATGGTGCCGCCACTGCCGCCGCCACCGCTGCTGGTTCATCCAATACAACAAATCGCCATAGGAGGAGCGGTCCTATTCCTAGTCCCAATCCCAATTCCAATCCCAATCCCAATCCTAATCCCAATCCCAATCCCAATCCGAAGAATAATGTGCAGAAGAGATTCAATTCGAGGGACTCTAATTTGCCCCAGCTGTTGCAAGAGATTCAGGAGAAGCTCGTGAAAGGTGCGGTCGAATGCATGATTTGCTGTGACATGGTGCGGAGGTCTGCGCCAATTTGGTCTTGCTCCAGTTGCTTCTCCATCTTTCACCTTAATTGTATAAAGAAGTGGGCGCGTGCACCCACTTCTGTGGATGTGTCTGTGGACAAGAATCAGCGGTTTAATTGGCGGTGCCCTGGTTGTCAATCTGTGCAGCTCACATCGTCCAAGGAGATTCGGTATGTTTGCTTCTGTGCGAAGAGGCCTGACCCCCCTTCCGACTTGTATCTCTTGCCACATTCCTGTGGAGAACCATGTGCCAAACCCCTTGAAAGGGAGCTTGGGGGGGATAAGGAGGTTCTTTGTCCTCATGTTTGTGTCTTGCAATGCCATCCCGGTCCTTGCCCTCCTTGCAAAGCATTTGCACCTCCACGTTTGTGTCCTTGTGGGAAGAAAAATGTTACCACCCGTTGTTCTGACCGCCAGTCTGTTCTTACCTGTGGCCAGCGCTGTGAAAAGCTTCTTGAATGTGGGCGGCATCGGTGTGAACAAATCTGTCATCTGGGACCTTGTGATCCTTGTAAGATTCCTGTCAATGCCTCTTGCTTTTGCAGTAAAAGGACGGAGCTCATTCTTTGTGGGGAAATGGCTCTGAAAGGTGAAATCAAAACCGAAGGTGGAGTTTTCTCTTGCGGTTCAACCTGTGGAAAGAAACTTGGTTGCGGTAATCATATTTGTATCGAGACGTGTCATCCCGGCAGCTGTGGGGAGTGTGGATTGTTACCATCCCATATTAAGACATGCTGTTGTGGGAAAACTAGATTGAAGCAGGAACGACAGAGTTGTTTAGACCCTATACCTACCTGTTCACAAGTATGTGGGAAGACCCTTCCTTGCGGGATTCATCATTGTGAAGAGGCATGCCACGCTGGGGATTGTTCTCCTTGTTTGGTTCTAGTCTCCCAGAAGTGTCGATGTGGCTCTACTTCCCGAACTGTGGAGTGCTGTAAGACAAAAGTGGACGCTGTGAAATTTACTTGTGAAAAGCCTTGTGGGCAGAAAAGGAATTGTGGAAGGCATAGATGCAGTGAACGGTGTTGTCCACTTTCTAATCCAAATAATGTTCAAATTGCGGATTGGGATCCACACTTCTGTTCATTACCATGTGGAAAGAAGCTAAGGTGTGGGCAGCATGCATGTGAATCCCTATGCCACAGTGGTCATTGTCCACCTTGTCTTGAAACTATATTTACTGATTTGACATGTGCTTGTGGCAAGACTTCAATCCCTCCTCCATTGCCTTGTGGCACACCTCCTCCCTCGTGTCAGCTTCCATGTTCTGTTCCTCAGCCTTGTTCACATCCAGCGTCTCACAGCTGCCATTTTGGGGATTGCCCTCCTTGTTCAGTGCCTGTAGCAAAAGAATGTATTGGTGGGCATGTAATTCTTCGGAACATACCCTGTGGTTCAAAGGATATTAGATGCAATAAACTATGTGGGAAGACCAGACAGTGCGGTTTACATGCATGTGGTAGAACATGTCACCTCCCACCTTGTGATAATCCATCTACAGTGCCGGGTACCCGTGCCTCTTGTGGGCAAACATGTGGTGCTCCAAGAAGGGACTGCCGCCATACATGTACAGCTCCTTGTCACCCTTCAACTCCATGTCCAGACACGAGATGCGAATTCCCTGTCACAATTACATGTTCTTGTGGCCGAATGACAGCGAATGTTCCTTGTGATGCTGGTGGAAGCTCTGCTAATTATAATGCCGATGCTGTACACGAAGCTTCCATTATCCAAAAGTTGCCTGTGTTGCTTCAACCTGTTGCTGCAAATGGCAAGAAAGTTCCTCTTGGACAAAGAAAACTGATGTGTAATGATGACTGTGCTAAGTTAGAACGTAAACGGGTACTTGCAGATGCCTTTGAGATAACTGCTCCAAATCTGGATTCTCTCCATTTTGGTGACAATCCTGGTACTTCTGAATTGCTTTCTGACATGTTGAGACGTGATCCTAAATGGGTTTTATCTGTTGAGGAGAGATGCAAGGTTTTGGTTCTTGGCAAGAACAGGGGAAATACACAAGGTCAAAAAATCCATATTTTCTCTCCTATGATAAAGGACAAAAGAGATACAGTGAGGGTCATTGCTGAAAGATGGAAGCTTGCGGTGTATGTAGCTGGTCGTGAGCCAAAGCGTTTTGTAGTTGTTCATGTTACCCCAAAATCGAGAGCTCCTGCTCGTGTGCTAGGGGTTAAGGGAACTACAACTGTAAATGCACCCCTTCCTCCTGCATTCGATCCTTTAGTAGATATGGATCCTCGGCTTGTTGTCTCTTTTCTAGACTTACCAAGGGAGGCAGATATCAGTGCACTGGTGCTGAGATTTGGTGGTGAGTGTGAACTTGTTTGGTTAAATGACAAAAATGCACTGGCTGTTTTTAATGATCCAGCCCGAGCTGCAACTGCAATGAGGAGGTTGGATCATGGTACTGTTTATCAGGGAGCCGTGGTAGTGATTGTTCCGAATGTTGGGGCATCAGCAGCATCTTCAGCCACCAATGCTTGGGGAGGATCTGGGACAATGAAAGGAGGAGGATCACTGGCAGCATTGAAGGGGGGTAATCCGTGGAAAAAAGATGTTCAAGAGCCAGGTTGGAAAGATTCTTGGGGTGATGAGGAGTGGGCTACTGGTTCTGCTAATGTGCATTTGCCTATTCAGAAGAAAGATTCCCTCATATCTACTTCAGTAAACCCTTGGAGTGTCTTAAATCAAGAATCTTCTTCAAGTTCATCTGCTGCAGCTGTTAAAGTTGATGTTTCCAAGGAACACTCAGAAAGTAGTGCTGTCACAAACTTGGAGCCTCATGATGGCGGTTCAAATCTAGGACAGCATGCAGGAAACTTGGATACTTTAGAAGATTCTGAGGTAGTAGATGATTGGGAGAAGGCTTGTGAATAGTGAAGAGAAGACAAGGAGTAAACCATTTTTTTTAGTCTCAATTTTACATTTTTTTTGAGAAGGAGGCTGATATTGTATCTCCTAGTCTCTTATTTTTGTTTGGCATGAGGTGGACATCACCGTACTTTTTGGGTTAATATTTTAATTTTCGTAGTGGAAAAAAATGGAGTGGTGATGTATCAAGCGATTGAAAAAAGAAACTTTGGTTTGATGCCATGGATAGGGTGTAGTTCTTTTGCTGATCGGAAATTATTAATTCCATAGTAGCACATTCTCGTCTTATATTTTTTTAGTAGCTGTGTCCTGTAAATACTGACGAAGGAGTAGTTATCTTAGCAATTTTGTTGTTTATTCTATGGAAATTATGCATGTGTGACAATTTGTAAGAGATGTCTAGTTGTAGTTGAGACCCTTCCTCTCACCAGCACAGTTATTAAGTTTTCAAATTTCAAATATTGTTTGCCACACTAATTTTAACTTTATTAATCTATATTTCAATTTGGTCTCTTTTTCTACTATCATCAATGTTTTTATGGTTAGTGAGTCTTATTTCTTACTTTATTTGAATTGTTGCATCTGTCCGTCTTTGACATCCAAATTTCAAGTGTAACATCATTACATTTTGTCTTGGTTTTGGGTAACTCATGATGCTGGATGGTTTTTATTATTTTAGGTATGACCCGAGTTCTAAATTCAAGACTAGCTAGATGGTTCCATTTACCATTTTAAGCTTAATTACTGATTTTAACTACCTATTAATAATGGTGAATATTGTAGGTGGATTTGGTTGAATCCACTTTGAAGTTGTGAAGTTCATTTAATAAGCAGTGCTCTGAATTTGAAGTTTGATGCCCTTTCTTTTTCAATTTTGTAACATTGGTTGCGTTTTAGATTCTTCTTCTTTCGAACCCAACAGAAGTAAGTAACATTGCCAACAGTTGCATTATTACATTTTTATTTCTGTTTGTATGAATAGTTTGTGTTTTCTTGACTTCTTCGTCCAATATAGTTTTAGCTTCTTGTAACTTTCTACTTGATTCGTCTTTATGCCATTGTAACCAACCAACCATATATAAAGTTAATTCCTAGCTTGCTTGGTCAATTTCAAAGTTAGCGCAAAATATATCATTTAAATTTATATAAAAAAATCTCAATTAATCACGAGAGGCAAAAATTAGACGTTGACATCTAGTAACAAGTAAGATTGGTTAATAATTTTAGGGATAAATACAGGCGAACGATTATTTTTCTTATAAATGAAGGAGACGATTGCGATTTTGTTGAAGAGAATTCAAATTCAATGTTCAACTTCCAACAAGAAGGAAACATTTGGTTTGATTTCATTCTGTGAATGTTTTGTTTTAAAATGATGACGTTATATTTTAGTTGTCAAGTTTTCAAATAAAAGCAATTTAAATGAGTCAAGTAAATTTCAAAGTGATACTGCAAGATCACGTGTAGTGTAACTTTCCATTCAGGTACTTCGACAAATAATAATAATAGTCGTAAATTAAATTTAAAGTTCATTATAAATTTGAGTATTTTTAATTGAATTACTGTTAAAAAATTTAAAAAGTTATTATATTAAATTATTTTATTATAATTAATAATTAAAATTTAATTTGTAAGTATTAATATTATAATTACATCATTGAAATTGTTGTCAGTTTAGTTGATCAAGCAGATAGATAAAGTGAGTTGATGAATTGAAAATTCAAATAAACGTGACCTACTTTGCACTTATACAAAATATAATAATAATACTATGCATTTAATAGAAAAATTAAATAAAAAATATTGAATTGAAAATATAATATTTTAAAAACACAATAAAAGAAAAATATTAATGGAGACTAAATTAATAATAGTAAAATTTATAAACAATTAAAATGTTAATCCATAATAATAATAACAATAATAATAATAAAAGTATATATTATCAATATTTGACTGAATCTTCAATAAATTCGAAAAGAATCGTTTCATAAAATTTTTAAAAGAGAAAAATAGAAAGAAATAGACGAAGTAATAGCATGGTTAGGGACTGTGTTCATGCTAGATCTCTCCTTAATAACTTTTAATAAATTTGGAAAGACTTCAAAATCATATTCAAGGTCAATTAATCAGTTCTTTCTTTTTTGTTTCACATTTACATTCTTAAAATGTGACAAGAACTTCCCCAATAAAAAAATAACTAAGAAACAAAGTGGAAGTGCAGCACATAGTTTTGTGTGACAGTTTCCGTTGAAGATTTCATACAATTCAGCATTTTGGTTTTGCAAATATTGGAGACAAATGGAAGCAGCACATGTCCATTGATTGTTTGTATTTTCTGTCGCATCCACATGCTTTCATCTTTCAACCATTCAACAAATGGAAACAGAAGACAGAAAAATTATAAAAAAAGAAGAAAGAAAGAAGGAACAGGAATAAGTTCTGTATCCTTACAGTAAGGGAAACCATGTGATATGATCATATGATTCCTGATAGGTCAATAAAAAAAAGGAATGGATTTCATTTCACATAATTCAAGGATTTGCTTAACATCAATCACGGCTGATTAAACCAGAGGATTTGACTCTAAATATAATAATATATTACATGTACTAAACAGACAGTGTAAAACTATGCAAAAGTGTTGCTGTGAGTATTATTTGACTCCTAATTGAAGTGTTGTTGCGTGCTGAATTTGACTCATCCATTAGTTTATTGAATTCATGGACCAAAACTAGAACTTACAGATGGCTGTGTGTGAATGATACAATTGGGGTGTCCATGTCACCTCGGCATTCCCTCTCTGCTATCTGTAATAAAATAGTAAAATAATGCAGAGATGAAAAGAGTGATAGTGAAGATCATCACGAGATCAACAATAATAAGCCGTCTAAAAGAATTTGTAGTGAAGATCACTATGTTAGATCATTTTCCTCTGCTGTTTAAGACACTGTAGTGTAGGGTCCATAATGACCATCATCATCCTAGTCTCCTCCGTCTGTCTCCTTTCAACCATTTCCTAAATACCTCTCTCTGTTCAATCATTCATTCCTTCATTCATATACATTTCTGTCACTTTCTTTCTTCTCATAACTTACTTACCTCATATTTTGCCTCCCTACTAATGGATTCTCATCTCTTTGATCAAGATAAGGTGAAATTCATTGCCTAAATTGCACAAACATTCTTGCATGTCAACACTGTGAATCAATCACAATTCTTTGCTTACATTTGTGTCAACCAAATTCAGTTTCACTCACATATTCTATTCAGTGTCTTCATGCATTAAGAACTTTACTGCTTCATATATACAATTGAATCTTTGTTGTAGGGATGTTGAAAGGATCTAGTATGTACCTTTTTTTTTTCCTTTATCCTTGAATCATAACTTTTAACTCCATATATTTATTATTCAGAAGAAAACATGNCTTGTGGCCGAATGACAGCGAATGTTCCTTGTGATGCTGGTGGAAGCTCTGCTAATTATAATGCCGATGCTGTACACGAAGCTTCCATTATCCAAAAGTTGCCTGTGTTGCTTCAACCTGTTGCTGCAAATGGCAAGAAAGTTCCTCTTGGACAAAGAAAACTGATGTGTAATGATGACTGTGCTAAGTTAGAACGTAAACGGGTACTTGCAGATGCCTTTGAGATAACTGCTCCAAATCTGGATTCTCTCCATTTTGGTGACAATCCTGGTACTTCTGAATTGCTTTCTGACATGTTGAGACGTGATCCTAAATGGGTTTTATCTGTTGAGGAGAGATGCAAGGTTTTGGTTCTTGGCAAGAACAGGGGAAATACACATGGTCAAAAATTCCATATTTTCTCTCCTATGATAAAGGACAAAAGAGATGCAGTGAGGTTCATTGCTGAAAGATGGAAGCTTGCGGTGTATGTAGCTGGTCGTGAGCCAAAGCGTTTTGTAGTTGTTCATGTTACCCCAAAATCTAGAGCTCCTGCTCGTGTGCTAGGGGTTAAGGGAACTACAACTGTAAATGCACCCCTTCCTCCTGCATTCGATCCTTTAGTAGATATGGATCCTCGGCTTGTTGTCTCTTTTCTAGACTTACCAAGGGAGGCAGATATCAGTGCACTGGTGCTGAGATTTGGTGGTGAGTGTGAACTTGTTTGGTTAAATGACAAAAATGCACTGGCTGTTTTTAATGATCCAGCCCGAGCTGCAACTGCAATGAGGAGGTTGGATCATGGTACTGTTTATCAGGGAGCCGTGGTAGTGATTGTTCCGAATGTTGGGGCATCAGCAGCATCTTCAGCCACCAATGCTTGGGGAGGATCTGGGACAATGAAAGGAGGAGGATCACTGGCAGCATTGAAGGGGGGTAATCCGTGGAAAAAAGATGTTCAAGAGCCAGGTTGGAAAGATTCTTGGGGTGATGAGGAGTGGGCTACTGGTTCTGCTAATGTGCATTTGCCTATTCAGAAGAAAGATTCCCTCATATCTACTTCAGTAAACCCTTGGAGTGTCTTAAATCAAGAATCTTCTTCAAGTTCATCTGCTGCAGCTGTTAAAGTTGATGTTTCCAAGGAACACTCAGAAAGTAGTGCTGTCACAAACTTGGAGCCTCATGATGGCGGTTCAAATCTAGGACAGCATGCAGGAAACTTGGATACTTTAGAAGATTCTGAGGTAGTAGATGATTGGGAGAAGGCTTGTGAATAGTGAAGAGAAGACAAGGAGTAAACCATTTTTTTTAGTCTCAATTTTACATTTTTTTTGAGAAGGAGGCTGATATTGTATCTCCTAGTCTCTTATTTTTGTTTGGCATGAGGTGGACATCACCGTACTTTTTGGGTTAATATTTTAATTTTCGTAGTGGAAAAAAATGGAGTGGTGATGTATCAAGCGATTGAAAAAAGAAACTTTGGTTTGATGCCATGGATAGGGTGTAGTTCTTTTGCTGATCGGAAATTATTAATTCCATAGTAGCACATTCTCGTCTTATATTTTTTTAGTAGCTGTGTCCTGTAAATACTGACGAAGGAGTAGTTATCTTAGCAATTTTGTTGTTTATTCTATGGAAATTATGCATGTGTGACAATTTGTAAGAGATGTCTAGTTGTAGTTGAGACCCTTCCTCTCACCAGCACAGTTATTAAGTTTTCAAATTTCAAATATTGTTTGCCACACTAATTTTAACTTTATTAATCTATATTTCAATTTGGTCTCTTTTTCTACTATCATCAATGTTTTTATGGTTAGTGAGTCTTATTTCTTACTTTATTTGAATTGTTGCATCTGTCCGTCTTTGACATCCAAATTTCAAGTGTAACATCATTACATTTTGTCTTGGTTTTGGGTAACTCATGATGCTGGATGGTTTTTATTATTTTAGGTATGACCCGAGTTCTAAATTCAAGACTAGCTAGATGGTTCCATTTACCATTTTAAGCTTAATTACTGATTTTAACTACCTATTAATAATGGTGAATATTGTAGGTGGATTTGGTTGAATCCACTTTGAAGTTGTGAAGTTCATTTAATAAGCAGTGCTCTGAATTTGAAGTTTGATGCCCTTTCTTTTTCAATTTTGTAACATTGGTTGCGTTTTAGATTCTTCTTCTTTCGAACCCAACAGAAGTAAGTAACATTGCCAACAGTTGCATTATTACATTTTTATTTCTGTTTGTATGAATAGTTTGTGTTTTCTTGACTTCTTCGTCCAATATAGTTTTAGCTTCTTGTAACTTTCTACTTGATTCGTCTTTATGCCATTGTAACCAACCAACCATATATAAAGTTAATTCCTAGCTTGCTTGGTCAATTTCAAAGTTAGCGCAAAATATATCATTTAAATTTATATAAAAAAATCTCAATTAATCACGAGAGGCAAAAATTAGACGTTGACATCTAGTAACAAGTAAGATTGGTTAATAATTTTAGGGATAAATACAGGCGAACGATTATTTTTCTTATAAATGAAGGAGACGATTGCGATTTTGTTGAAGAGAATTCAAATTCAATGTTCAACTTCCAACAAGAAGGAAACATTTGGTTTGATTTCATTCTGTGAATGTTTTGTTTTAAAATGATGACGTTATATTTTAGTTGTCAAGTTTTCAAATAAAAGCAATTTAAATGAGTCAAGTAAATTTCAAAGTGATACTGCAAGATCACGTGTAGTTTAACTTTCCATTCAGGTACTTCTACAAATAATAATAATAGTCGTAAATTAAATTTAAAGTTCATTATAAATTTGAGTATTTTTAATTGAATTACTGTTAAAAAATTTAAAAAGTTATTATATTAAATTATTTTATTATAATTAATAATTAAAATTTAATTTGTAAGTATTAATATTATAATTACATCATTGAAATTGTTGTCAGTTTAGTTGATCAAGCAGATAGATAAAGTGAGTTGATGAATTGAAAATTCAAATAAACGTGACCTACTTTGCACTTATACAAAATATAATAATAATACTATGCATTTAATAGAAAAATTAAATAAAAAATATTGAATTGAAAATATAATATTTTAAAAACACAATAAAAGAAAAATATTAATGGAGACTAAATTAATAATAGTAAAATTTATAAACAATTAAAATGTTAATCCATAATAATAATAACAATAATAATAATAAAAGTATATATTATCAATATTTGACTGAATCTTCAATAAATTCGAAAAGAATCGTTTCATAATATTTTTAAAAGAGAAAAATAGAAAGAAATAGACGAAGTAATAGCATGGTTAGGGACTGTGTTCATGCTAGATCTCTCCTTAATAACTTTTAATAATTTTGGAAAGACTTCAAAATCATATTCAAGGTCAATTAATCAGTTCTTTCTTTTTTGTTTCACATTTACATTCTTAAAATGTGACAAGAACTTCCCCAATAAAAAAATAACTAAGAAACAAAGTGGAAGTGCAGCACATAGTTTTGTGTGACAGTTTCCGTTGAAGATTTCATACAATTCAGCATTTTGGTTTTGCAAATATTGGAGACAAATGGAAGCAGCACATGTCCATTGATTGTTTGTATTTTCTGTCGCATCCACATGCTTTCATCTTTCAACCATTCAACAAATGGAAACAGAAGACAGAAAAATTATAAAAAAAGAAGAAAGAAAGAAGGAACAGGAATAAGTTCTGTATCCTTACAGTAAGGGAAACCATGTGATATGATCATATGATTCCTGATAGGTCAATAAAAAAAAGGAATGGATTTCATTTCACATAATTCAAGGATTTGCTTAACATCAATCACGGCTGATTAAACCAGAGGATTTGACTCTAAATATAATAATATATTACATGTACTAAACAGACAGTGTAAAACTATGCAAAAGTGTTGCTGTGAGTATTATTTGACTCCTAATTGAAGTGTTGTTGCGTGCTGAATTTGACTCATCCATTAGTTTATTGAATTCATGGACCAAAACTAGAACTTACAGATGGCTGTGTGTGAATGATACAATTGGGGTGTCCATGTCACCTCGGCATTCCCTCTCTGCTATCTGTAATAAAATAGTAAAATAATGCAGAGATGAAAAGAGTGATAGTGAAGATCATCACGAGATCAATAATAATAAGCCGTCTAAAAGAATTTGTAGTGAAGATCACTATGTTAGATCATTTTCCTCTGCTGTTTAAGACACTGTAGTGTAGGGTCCATAATGACCATCATCATCCTAGTCTCCTCCGTCTGTCTCCTTTCAACCATTTCCTAAATACCTCTCTCTGTTCAATCATTCATTCCTTCATTCATATACATTTCTGTCACTTTCTTTCTTCTCATAACTTACTTACCTCATATTTTGCCTCCCTACTAATGGATTCTCATCTCTTTGATCAAGATAAGGTGAAATTCATTGCCTAAATTGCACAAACATTCTTGCATGTCAACACTGTGAATCAATCACAATTCTTTGCTTACATTTGTGTCAACCAAATTCAGTTTCACTCACATATTCTATTCAGTGTCTTCATGCATTAAGAACTTTACTGCTTCATATATACAATTGAATCTTTGTTGTAGGGATGTTGAAAGGATCTAGTATGTACCTTTTTTTTTTCCTTTATCCTTGAATCATAACTTTTAACTCCATATATTTATTATTCAGAAGAAAACATGGAAGCAAACAATTCTGCTATCGTTTCAAATTGTGGGTATAGTTTATGGTCAACTGAGCACGGCACCTTTATATGTATTTGGGACAATGCGAGAGAGCGATCTTGCAGCAGATCAGGAAGTTGTTTATGAACTCTTCTCCTTTATTTTCTGGACGCTCACCATAATTTCCTTGCTGAAGTATGCCTCCATAGTGTTGAAAGCTGATGATGAAGGAGAGGGTAACTTTCTGATCTGCAGTGACTGTAACATATTTATCTTTCAAGATTGAATGTTGGTAGAAATTTTTTGTAGGTGGCACTGTTGCTTTGTACTCACTGCTGTGTAGAAATGCAAAAGTTGGTCTACTCCCATGTGACACAAGTGCAAACGAGGTTATGCTTTACGAGGAGAAAAGTTCTCCCAAGATTAAAGCCGATTCAAGAGCACGAAGGGCCATTGAGAAACACAAGATCTGTCACTATTTAATATTGTTCTTAGCTCTCTTCGGTTCCTGCATGACTATTGGGGACGCAGTGCTCACTCCAGCCCTTTCAGGTATAATAAAATACAATTACCACTTTAGTAATATATTTTAATTTTGGTGGAAGTAATTAATTGCTGGTTGCATGTGCAAGATTTGGTAATTACTTTTCACTGTATATACTAATATTATGGCTGTTTGTTTACCAGTGTACTCAGCTTCAGCAGGAGTTCAGAGATCCTTGACAGACATATTGAAAGACATATGTAAGGCCTTGTAACTGATGCTAAAGGCCTTATCTTTAATTGCTACAACGTGTTTTTTGATTACCCTTTTATCTATAACCAGTTGGCTCGTCAGAACATACTAAGGAGTCCGTGTCAAAGGCTCTAAAAGCATGTAAGTTTAAACATATGCGGCACACTTTGCTTTTTCAAAATTTCCCTTTATAAAGCCTCAATTGATTAATTCTATTCTTGAAGAAACATTACTAACAAACATTGAATTTGCATCTACTTGTGATATCTGTAACAGACTTTGATTTGCTAAGTAACTTAGTTCATATATTTGATGGGTTTTTATCTGTTTGGTGCATTTTACTTGCCAGTTTAAGTTGTGATTGTGTATTTATTAGAAAAGTGATGCCTATGTATCTCCTGTAACTATGTTGTTCACTTTGTGCTTCATTTACTTTATTCAGATGTACCTGTTCCCTCTGCGTGTGTTATATTGGTTGGCCTGTTCATGCTGCAGCATTGCGGTACACGTAAAATTGGGATCATGTTTGCACCAATAATTGCTGCTTGGCTGCTGTTTGTTGCTGCGGTGGGAACGTATAACATTTTCCACTGGGATGTAAAAATCATCTATAAAATATCCCCATTCTACATATACAGATTCTTCACAAAAATTGACATCCACAGATGGAGATTGTTAGGGAGCGTCATTTTATGCGTAGCAGGTGGCCCTTTTTATTTTATTTTTCCAGAACTGTGCAAATGTTAACAAGTTATCAGTGTTTATAATTCTGAGATATTTTTCTTGTTAGAATTTCAATTATTGCTTTGACAAGATACTGCATTGTTTTGCAGGATCGGAGGCAATGTTTGCAGGCCTAGGCCATTTCTCCAAGAAATCAATTAAGGTAAAATACGTAGCATCTTTTGTAATGGACATATATTAATTGTACACTGAAAAATGTTACTAACTTGTGCATCGTGTGTGGTTGTAGATTACATTTATATGCTTCATCTATCCGCTTCTTGTGTTATGCTATGCGGGTCAGGCTGCATACATTTCCAAAAATTTAACTTCTTCTGATTTTAATCATCTTAGCCAATCCATGCCAGGTAAGTTATTGGAGTATCTCTATATGGATGAGATTTTCCTTTCTGCAATTTCACTTTACTGAAGTGATGGTTGGTGATTCCAGGTCAGTGCAAACACTTGTACATAGTGTTATCCCTACTCTCTTCAGCCGTGGGAAGCCAAGCTACCATAACAGCGTGTTTCTCCATCATTAACCAGTGTCTCGCATTGAATTGCTTTCCCAGAGTAAAAGTTATTCACACATCAAAATCTATAAACGGGCAGATTTACATCCCCGATGTCAACTGGCTATTGATGATTTTCAGCCTCACTGTAACTATTGGTTTCAGAGACATTGTGAAAATTGGCAATGCAACAGGTATGCCGTTGTTGTCTGTTGTTGATTACACACTAATACTTAAAGGCAGTGGCTAACAGAGAAGAAAACAGAGAGCATGCAGAACTTAAAGAAATAAATTGTTATTGAGAAAGCTAACTTGAGTATGTTTACAATTTGATTTAAATACATTCAGAAATAACAGACTAACACATCATGTTTCATGAATCTAGCCACTGCACTGATAGCTTAGGTGAAACGTAGGATAGAGATAATCCAGTAATGGCCAATGAAACAGAATCTGAAAGCTTGCTAAAACTAAAAATATGCAACATCCAAATGCACGTTCTCAATAGTTGGACTGATTAGATATATGAGTGCATACACGAAGTTCTTTCTATATTATTCAGTTAAAATATTCTTGACATAAGCTCACGATTTGTGACAGCATTGGCTATTATAAGTGGAATGCTTGTGACTACGAGTCTGATGTCACTGATCATTGCTTTGTATTGGGATAAGGACATGATGGTGTCTGTGTACTTTCTTGTATGTTTTGGGTTCATAGAGGCTGCATATCTTTCGGCATGTCTGCTACAGTTCCACAAGGGATCGTGGTATCTGGTTGTCCTATTGGCAGTTACGATGACAGTGATGCTTTCATGGCACTATGGAAGTATGAAGAAGTACGAGTTTGATTTGCAAAACAAAGTATCAACAGAGTGGCTGATAGATATAAGTCCAGGCCTTGGGATTTCGAGGGTACCCGGAATTGGCTTCATTTACACGGAAATAGTGGCAGGAATCCCAGCTTTCTTTTCACATTTCATCACAAATCTTCCTGCATTCCATCAAGTCTTGATCTTGGTATCATTCAAGTCCGTCCCAGTGCCTTACATAGGAGAAAGTGAGAGGTACCTGATAGGTAGGATCGGGCCAAAGGATTACAAAATATATCGGTGCATTGTGAGAAGTGGATACTGTGATCACATAAGGGACACGGGTGATTTTGAGGAGAAGATTCTTCGTTCAATAGGGGAATTCATATCCATTGAACAGAATGACATTGAGTCGAGGATGAGTTGCCCAGATGAAAGAATGATGCTTGTTGGAGATTCAAGGGATGATGGAAATGGTTTGGTCCCTCTGGAGGATTTAGAGTCATCATCATCATCATCATGCATGGTGCAAAGCCAGGTGAACAACGAATCTCAGATAAGCCCGGTGGCAGAAGAGGCGATGGAGAGTAGCAGTGGTTGTAAGAAGAGAAAAAAGGTTCGGTTCATGTTGCCTCATAATAGTCCTAAAATGCAGGTATCTGTTAGGAATGAGCTTTTGGAGCTGATCGATGCAAGGGAGAGTGGAAGTGCATATTTCTTGGGGCAGTCACATTTAGTTGTGCGTGATGGCTCAAACTTTCTCAAGAGATTCTTAATAATGGTCTATCGTTTCAGTGAAAAAAATTCTCGAGAACCTCCAGTGGCTCTTAAAATCCCTCATGCTGCTCTTGTGGAAGTTGGTGTCGTATGTACTATATAGCTCCAACATGGTAGATTGCAGTATTTCGTAGGATGACACAAAATTTGTGTCATTTCTGTATTTCGTACCAGTAGTAGATTGCAGACTGTGCAAAATGGTGCTACTGGAGTTTTGATTGAAGCGGCATACGATGCCAATGGGATCAGAATTTCGAATTTATGCTCTCATCGTCTTCAAGAATATGTTTATTGAAGTTTTTCTTTATGCCCTGTGAATGAATAGTTAACATGTTATTACTCACTCGTGATAAATATTCTAGTTAACAGTGTAATGACATGTTAACAATAATTAACTATAGTAAAAGTTGAAGTCTTTCATAATGATCAGGAATTTCATCATGAATGTTCAAAATACTTACCACTTAATCAGGATAATCATTATTGCCTGAACTCACTTCATAGTTATAGGTAAAATATATTATGAGAATTTTTTTTTTGCATTACCAGTTAATAACTCTTCCCAATGTTTTAAACGATCTACTACTTTGTAATATTTTACTTTTATGTTTATATTACGAGAGATTAGTAAAATCAACTTGATCATTAATCTTTAGCAAAGTTAAAAAAAATGTATATATATCACAACATCTCATACCTAAATATGATTATTTAATTTTGATTAACATCAATTCATTTAAAGGAATTCACGCACATATAATCATAATATGAACTGGAATTATACTGCTTATTATAGTATGATTTGAGAAAGAATTTCTTTATCATCTTTTTTTATTTCTTAAAACACAATTCATGAGTAGAATGCAAAGTGAAAATATAGTGATGTCCCCTTTTATCTTTTAGTGAGTCCATAGGGGTCAGATTACATTTATATATTTTACTTTTTAAACTTTTGTCACAGTTACTACCTACCTACTCTTTGCCTTTATTTTACCAGGCCAAAAAGCCACAGTGTTATTTTTGGAGATTAGAGATATTTTTACTTTGAAAAGAGTTATACAGAATAAGACTGAAAAGAAATACGATGAGAAGGGGATAAAGGTAAAAGAAAAAGAATTGAAAAATAGAATAATAAATTTGTAGAGTGTGAAAATAATAAAATTGTGAAATTTTATTAAGACTAAAGTGAAAGTGTTGAAGGTTGGGAGATGGCAAAGTAGGTAGAGTGGTGGCTTGGACGAGATTTATGTAACTAAATGCAGCTCTGTCGCCAACCTCATCACTTCCTATTTAAGTTAAAATTTTAGTTTTATTAGGCAGTTTTGGTTTGAAGAAATCAAGGAAAGGAGAAGACACCCATAATAATGCAGACAATAATGGATAAATCTCACTCAAGTTTCACCCGTTGTTGCGCCGCTCCCACTCCCACGCGCCGCCACCGATTCCTCATTCATCCTCATAATCGGTCTCTGTCTCTCTAATTTCATTTTTAATCCTTTTTTTAGTTAATTCTGTCATATATCGAAGAAAATAAAGAACATCTTAATTATCCATTATGGTTGGTCGAGTTTCTTTCTACCTTAATTTGTTGTCTTGGTCCTGTCTAATAAAAACAGCATAAGGCTTATTATGAGTTTTATAATGCATGAAATTCTGAAATATGAATGGTGCATGCACATGCAGGTGGTATCTGTTGTGGAAGCACTTCATTCTGATATGGGCGATTTACTCTTCATTCTTCATTCTTATGGAGTTCGGTTTCTTCAGAGGCTTACCTAACAACATATTTCTCCTGGACATAGCGGGGCAATTGGTGTTTCTGATGGACATGGTGGTGCAGTTCTTGGTGTGCTATCACGAAGTTCACTCCAACTCACTCTCCTTGGTCCTCGACCACTACAAGATCTTCGTCAGGTACCTCAAGTCTCGCTTCTTCTTCGACCTCCTCTCATGTCTCCCATGGGATTTCATCTACAAGCGCACCAACAACAATGAGCTCCTCCGCTCTCTGCTCTGGATCATACTTGCTCGTGCTTCCCGTGTCACCCAATTCCTCGACACCCTCGAGAAGGATACAAGGATCAATTACTTGTTCACCAGAATCCTCAAACTCTTCGTCGTTGAACTTTACTGCACTCACTCCGCTGCTTGCATTTTTTACTATCTTGCCACCACTCTGCCCTCTTCCCAGGAGGGTTACACCTGGATCGGTAGCTTGAAGATGGGAGACTATGCGTATTCTGACTTCCGACACATCGATCTCTGGAAGCGTTATGTCACCTCCCTCTACTTTGCCGTTGTTACCATGGCCACCGTTGGTCAGATACTCCTTCCGATTCCATTCCTCTGCTTCCTCACTCACACATTTGACTGTCATATTTATATATATCCTACTTTGTAAATCCTTTGCTTTGCAGGCTACGGAGAAATCCACGCAGTCAACGTGCGTGAAATGATATTCGTCATGGTTTATGTCTCCTTTGACATGATTCTTGGCGCTTACCTCCTCGGCAACATGACTGCGTTGATCGTGAAAGGGTCTAAGACCGAGAGATTCAGAGATAAAATGTCTGATATTAGTAAGTTCTTCGATAAGAACAAACTGGACAGCCAGATATGTCACCAGATTAAAGATCACTTGAGGTTAAAGTATGATCGAAGTTATAACGGATCTTTTATTCTTCAGGAGATACCAACCACCATTCGCAAGAAGGTCTTTCTATGTCAATCACCAAATTTTGTTCATCACTTCCCAGATATTTATGTGAATCTTGTTGCCTGCTTGCAGATTTCAATAAGCATGTACGAAAAGTTCATTCAGAAAGTTTCTCTTTTCAAGGGATGCTCTTCAGGGTTTATAAAGCAGATCGTAAGAAAATTTTTACTTATACTTGTTTGATTACGTACACGATACTAATTAAAACTTATAATCGATCATGTGATTGCCTTGTTTTCATAGAAATGTCTGATACAAAATTTGTTTTAACAGGCAACCAAAGTGGAGGAAGAGTTTTTCCTCCCAGGAGAATTAGTTATGGAGGAAGGAGATGTCGCAGATAAACTCTACTTTGTATATCATGGTGAGATGGTAAGAATAAAGATATCACGCATTACATTTTGTATGATGAATTATCTTATCTTGTTTTGAAATCTGGTTTGATAACTATTCTTGTTGTCAACAGCGTGAGATGAGGAGGGAAGAGGGTGATACAGAAGAAGAGACGATCACATTGCAGACCTATAGTTCTTTCGGCCATTTTTCTTTTTTTTGCAATATACCTCAAAGTTCGACGGTTGAAGCTCATGAATTTTGCAAGGTTTTGCGACTTGATAAGAAATCCTTTACTGAAATACTGAAGATATACTTTTTAGATGGTCGTGTTGTGTTGAACAACCTCCGGGAGGTATGTTGTGATTTAAAGGAAAAATTTACCTTTTTTATCATTTCCATTGTGAGAGCATAAAGGCACTGCAATAAAACTGAGAGAGGATTAGTCAACCAAGTCCCTTATCCATAATAATTATCATTTTCATGTGGTCCAACATGTTTGTAGGTCTAAAACGAATATTGAGATTACTCGATTTTAAATTTAATAATTCAAAAAATTATACTTTTACTAAAAGTTTTCTTTTGGGTTTTTAAGGATGTAAACTTTTTTTTTTATATGAAGACATTACTTAAAATAATATCACTACGAGGAAATTACATCTCATAACACAGACTTATGATAAAATTACAAAACCAAATAACGTAATTTTGAATCAAATTAATGAACAGAAAATATTAGAACAAAATGCATAAGAAACATTTTTTAACTTTTAGCAGTAAAAACACTCTGGTGTTTCAGAAGCAAAACAAGAAAAATTGCAAAAAAAAAAGACAAGAAAAGCTTGTTTCAGAAAGGGTTATGAAAGACGTAAAATAAAAACAAAAACAAAAAGTTATGTTACCTTGGATTAATGTATGGCGTCTAAATAGTGATTAACTGAAACTGTACCCTAGTTTATTTTATTATGTTCGTAAAAGAAAACTAAGATACTGAGACGTGATCTATGAACGAGCAATAAGCAATTCAAGAATTCAGGAATATAGGAACGGATAAAGTATAGTAGTGTTTAAATAAGTTGGGTGAGAGTAAATATATTCAAGAGAAAGTGACTTTAGGATTAGCTTTCCTAATTAGAGATTCGAGGCTAGTTTTGGGAAATGATATCTTTAGAATGAAAAGATCTTTGATATAGTTGTGATGGTATCAACATTTGACGCATGAGATGTTTTAATGGTTGAAGTTCTAAGCTGATAAATTTATGATAGATGCTTGTAATTGGGTGACAGGTAAAAGACTTAAATTTCCAGCGTAAGCTTTTGTTATCAGACTTCAACCTCACTATCGGAAGCATGGAAATAGAGTTGGCTACAAGGCTCAACTGTGCTGCCCATGATGGTCATCTTGATCTTGTCAAACGTTTGATTGGATTTGGGGCAGATCCCAACAAAACTGATTATGACGGTAGAACTCCCTTGGTATGCACAACAAATATTCATGAACTCAATCACAACGAACTTTCATTTCTTCATTATGCATAACTATTTCTATTCTCACATTGCTTGTGAATAAATTTGTGTCTAGTGTATAATTCGGCACAGAATGAACAGGTGATCAAATATTATACAGTGGTGAGAAAGTGCGTTTTATTAATCAGATTTTGTGTTTCTTATGACAGCATATCTCTGCATCAAAAGGATATGTGGATATTTCTTCTTATCTTGTTGAAGAAGGAGTATGCATCGATACAGCAGGTTTGGCATTATACTTTATTAAACATGCATCTTTGAAGCGAAAAATACTTTTCGTTTTGAAACATCCATTTGTTTTAGATAAATTTGGCACCACTCCCTTGCTTGAAGCCCTCAAGAATGGACATGAAGATGTGGCATCTGTACTTGTTAACGCGGGAGCTATCCTTGCTATTGATGACGTTGGCAATTTTCTCTGCATGACAGTTGCAAGGAAGGAGTTTGACATTTTGAAAAGGGTTCTAGCTTGTGGTATTAATCCAAATGCAAAAAATTATGATCAGCGTACCCCTCTTCACATTGCTGCCTCTGAGGGCTTCTTTACAATGGTTGAGTTACTTCTAGTGGCAGGAGCAAGTGTTTTATCCAAGGACAGGTATGGTCCAAATATTGAGTCAGGGAGAACGCGTATCTTTTTGGATATATCACTTTATATTCAGTGCTAACTTAGAAGGATAATAAAATAGCATTGTTGTCTTGCTCATTGAATTGCAAAAGATCATGTTTCAATCAACACTTCTCTGTGGCAGATGGGGAAATACACCTCTTCATGAAGCTCATACTGGTGGAAATAGAAATATGATCAAATTGCTTGAAGTTGCTAAAGTTTCTCAGTTGGCTGAATTGTCCGATAATATTCATGAAACTCAAGGTATCATTATGTCTGAGTACAGAATAATACAATTGCAGATGATCATTAGGTGTTTGGTACAGTTGGCATTGGAACCTGGGAATGCTAAATACTCTGCACTTCCTTCTGGATTTTGATGTGAGGGATGCTTGGATTCTTATGTTTGGTTTCCAATTTAAGTTCATCAAAAGCATTCACATTATGTCCTACAATGGGATCTTGCATTTTTAACTGTCATCATGCTAAGGAATCAATAAATAATTGGAGTCCGTCTTAAATTGGTTAACTTTTCTTTCCTTATTTTTTGTGTAAGCATTCTAACAAATAGTGTATGTTCATGAATTTTGCAGCAACACCAGTGCTGCAGTCAACAAATGAAATTCCTAAAAAGAGATGTACAGTGTATCCTTTCCACCCATGGGATCACAAAGCGGGTAAAAGAGAGGGAGTGGTCCTATGGGTTCCACAAAGCATTGAAGAACTTATAAAGGAAGCAGGGAAACATTTGGAAACTACGAACAATTCCTACATTTTGTCAGAAGAAGGTGGAAAAGTTCTTTACGTAGACATGATTAACAACGATGAGAAGTTATTTGTAGTAAGTGAAGAAAAAAATGAGGTGAGATGATCTGGTCATCCAATTCCTCGAGAGCTTTCCTCCTTTCATTAGCCTTCACCTCGGCAATCCTCCTGGAAAGGTTTGGAAGCCATCACAATGATCAAAATCGGGTTTCTTTAAGACAAACATTTTCAGATTTATAAATAAAAGATCTTAAGTGGAACCACATTGAACGTGGACCACATACTAATATAATACATCAAACAAAGCCTTGAAGTGATGCAGAAAATTAAAGTGAGTTTAATTTATATTTCACTACTCTTGTATTACCAGTGGAATATAATACAGTAAGGTGTGTAGTTTGGGAAAAATTCTTACATATCTAAACGTACAACACCTATAGTCAAACCATTAAAAAGCTAAAGCTTTGAACACGCGCATCATACAAATTATACTTCACACTAAACCTAAACCATAGAGAACATCAGAATGTTTTGCTGCCATCTAATGGAATATGTTTCGTTCATACAAGTTATGGATGCCAAAATGAGCAAGAATGGAAGTTTGTCAGATTTATTAGAAGAAACTTAAGAGAGTGTGAGAAGACATGAGAATGAAACAAACCTGTACAAAATCAAATCCGTGCCAGAAGCAGAAGGCTCTTCCTTTTGTTGATCAGCATCGCGGTCAGTTTGGAGCTGCTCAAGCTGCTGGTCTACGGCAGCAGGGACAAGATGCGGGTGATCTACCAAAATCTGAGAAAGAAACTGCCCAATTGGAGACTCCAACTGAAGAGGAGCAATCTTGGCATGGGCATCCGATTCAGATGACTCGGGAAATGACGAAGCTGCTCTAACTACAAAACCTCTTCTACGAGCTTGCTTGGGGATAGAAAGTGAAGTGAAGCAAAGCTGGAAAACATCAACAACAAAAAGCAGGTGAATGATAATTAATCAATGATATCAATCTCTTGACACGGTGTTTGGTTCCATTTATGCTTACTTCATTTCACTTACAAAGTATCGTGCTATGTCAATGAGATTAGAAAAGCATTTCCGATTCCCTGATTCCAACTATTACCAGGAAAAGATGACTAAAACGGCAATCCATCAGATCACCTCACGACAATAACAGTTAACAAAGAGAACACGTAATCAATCACAGAAACGATACCTTTCTGGAAAACCTAGAAGTGGAACTGAGGCGAACAGAGGCGGAGGCGCTGATCGGTCTTCCGAGGACTATCGCCGGTGAGCGGACAGCAGTGATTGCCACGTCCATTTAGACGTCGGAGAGGTCCACCAAGGAGCTGAAAGCTTGATGGATTCAGAGACGAATTGAACAAAGAAAGCGCAGAAGAAACGAAACCCTAGAGAAAGAGAAAATGGTTATCAATCAACGATTCTATTCGATTCAATTCAATTCAATTCCGGTGTGCGTTTTGCGTTAATGGTAGAGAGACCTTAATGCCACGTGAAGAAGGATTTATAGGGCGTCTCCTGTGCTTCGCGGGCCCACAATTGCGTAAATGACAATTCAACCCTCGGAACTAAATTTCACAATTGGTTTAGTGATGAAATTAGCTTTGGTTTATCTTAAGTAACTCAATTATGTTAATAGGTGAAAAGTTTGAATGATTTGAGTGAATCCAATAGACATGTAGTATTGATAACAAAATGATGATTATTGGAATTTGATCACTAAGGTTACAGTTTTCATTGTTTGGTCCTTGTAAGGGTTTATAAAGGCATGGGTAAATCGGAGAAGAGGAGAGAAGATATTATTTTAGTGAGAAGGAGAGACACGTTTGGATTAGAGTGTTCGCGAATGGCGTGTAACGTGTTTTTGTGAGGAAAATAAGATCTTTGAGCGTTTTCATTTTAAAATTCATTTTGTGGTGGTGCAACAAAATCACAAGTAATTGAGGTCCAAAATTGGCCACTCGTGCCTCAATTTTGCGGTACACCTGTCATCGTGTATTGTTTTGATTCCAGTATCATTTCTGTTCAAAATAGCCTCCACATCTTCCTCTTTTTTTTCATTCATTTCACTTTAATCCAATTCTTCTATTTTATATAAAGAAATGTTTGTTTGGGTATGAGGAGGAGAAATGGTGTCAATTTCCGAATAGATTGTTCCGCATTTCCGTTTCTTAAATCTTCTTTATAACCAAATTGAGAACTTTGATAATAAAGTTACTAAACGATTATCGAAAAAGTATTAAATGTAATAATATATGTAGATAACTATATTTTAAATTTTTATTTATAATAATTATTATGAATTTTTAAATTTCTACCTACTCCCTTCACTAGGGCTAGGGTTAGGGATGTTAAAGTTAAAAGATTACAAAGAAAAAAATTAAAATTTGCTAGACATCTTTAAAATAAAATCATAACAGAACTATTTTTTTTACATTGAAAATCATTTATTTTGTGAGTATATATGTGTTTTCTTTTTTTAATTTTCAATTGATCTTGTACCTTCCTAGTTCCATTTAGACCTTTCAACTATGACTTAGTAAGCTCGTGCATTTGATGAATTTTTACAGTTATGAATTTTACAGTTTTGATAAATTTTGGCTCAAATCTTTTTCACTTGCGGAAAATGACGTCTTAACAAATCATTCATTGCTATGAACCATTACTTTGTTTCTGTGGAGTGAAATGCTCTTGCTTTCATGATTACTTCAATTTTCTTCTTTAACTTCCTCTTTTTCCAATATTGTACTCTTGTCGAAAATTCATTGGTTGGTCTACTATACATCTTCTATAAGAGAAACTCGCATTCAGTTTTACAGTTATGAATGACTCGTGTCATTTTGTTTTGCTGGTTAAAATCTCTCCATGAATATAAAAGGGACAAAGAAAGACTTTTGAATTTTTACTTTTTTTATATTATTTAACCTCGTATGAAAGTTTGGCAGGCGTTGTAATGTACTTGACACATCTCTCATGCAGTTGGTGTAATGAGCCCATATATGTAGTTGGTGTAATGAGCCCATATATGCAAAATCAAAAGAAACATCACTTACAATTTCTTCCTACAATAAAAGATATTTGAATATTCAACCATTATTACACTGTCACCTTCAACTATTTAGGCCACATATCGGACCTCTATTGGGGCATGCCGTGTCTGATATTTTTTCATTATTAATGACAGTAATCTTTCATTGGTCACTCTTATTCATTTCATTACATATGATAGATATCTTTCCTTTTCATCTTTAATTTTTGCTTTCCTGAACTAGTCTCTTCTATATGGCATGGACAGAACCTAACGCCTTCGACAGATTCACAACATGCAGAACTTTGCCAAAAATATCATAATAAACAACTTTTGCATTTGTTTGTTCCAGCTCCACAGACATAAATCCTTGTCCATCATAGTAAAACTTTGTGCCGTCTTTCCTATTTTTATCGATGTCTCCTTTCCATGCCTTTGAACCTCCACCACTGGTTAAGAATTGGATTTGACTGCAACAACACTCAATAATACCATCATATAATTACCATGATTTAGAGGTGATTTAGTTAGCAAACAAATCGTTAACACACACCTGCTTGTGCTAATTATGTGTTCCAAGCAATGGTCATGCCCATTAATGTACATATCCACATCATTTGCCTGCAATTTTAATTTCATCGGTTAAGGTTGCATTCATTTTTCACTAGTCTAGGATAGGAATAGGATTGTCTCTAATATATCTTGGCTGAATGACCTCAAGAATTGGCAGAAGCTGCCTTATGAGCTCTTGGGTGTCACCATGGTGTCCTATGCTTCTTATGGGATGATGCCCCACAACAATCTTCCAGTTGGCAGAAGAACCCTTTAATGCTACTTCCAGATCCTATGTTCAAAACCACACACACAGAAAGAAAAAGGGGAAAATGTATTGGATTTGCTATTTATCTTAATCTGTTGTGATGATAAAGATTAAGAGATTTACCTTTAAGAGCTTTGATAAATATCTCTCCCTTGGAAGCACTCCTCTCCAATCATACTTGTGGTGCTTCGGCTTAAGAAAATACTTGTCCACAAAAGGTGTCGTATCGACAAAGAAGAACTCAGCAATTTCTGCAGAGTTTTTGAGATTAGCAGAACACTTAATGATTGCTATCCAAGATGAGAAGCCACATTACCAGTGTCAACTATGAATGATCTTTTGCAGATCCATCTGGGATCGATTTTCTGAAGGATTGGATTCAGTTGTGCTTCCACGTCTCCCCTGTAGTCGTGGTTTCCCAACACTGAAATCAATGTCCATCACATTTAATGGACAGAAGAATGGAAGATTAAAGGAAGAGTTTAGCTGGCTAAGAATTTTTGCTTATACATCAATAGTTGGTGTGTCTGAACTCACCATTATACCACTGCTTTTGGAGGCTCTTGGCAGTGTAGACTTTTGAGAAGGAAAATTCAAATGCTGGGTCGTCTACACCAGTCAAACCATCGTCGTAGAAATTGTCTCCAGTGGATATCACAAAGTCGATATTTAACTTTTCTGCAACTCTTCCCATCTGACATATCACATACGCAAAAAAGATGAGAGTCTAAAAAGCACCAGCTTTTGCTTTAGGAGAGAGAGAGATCCATTCCATGACCATTACTTTAACCAATTACACATACATCGCAGCAAAAGAACATAGCCATGCGTCAAACGAGCAAATAAAAGGATTCACAAAATGATGTGCTTAATTAAGGTACTAGATTGGAACACAGAATAGAGTTAAGGATTCACAAAGAATGCATGTAACAAAGACCTGAACAGCAACTTCTGATTGGTTGTACGTTCCTTTCCTTCCCCAGTCTCCAATGACCACAAGACTAAGTGAGCCATCAGCCTTGACAGGGTGCTGTAGGCGTTGGAGAAGAGCTGATACATTCAGAGAACACAGACTAATGAGAGCCATCATCCATACACCCAAACCAGCCATGTTTTTGTGTGTGGGTGTCTTCAACTCTTTACTTGTGGGACAATTTATGTGTAAAAAAAAAAAGATTCTTTCATCTTAAGAGCATATCCAATATCACATAATAGAACAGTTATGTGACTTAACATGATGTCGTGTACGAACTTACCAGAGGGAGAGGTCCTATGGGTTCCACTAAGCATTGAAGAACCGATAAAGAGGCAGGGAAACATTTGGAAACTACGAACAATTCCTATTTTGTCAGAAGAAGGTGGAAAAGTTCTTTACGTAGACATGATTAACAACGATGAGAAACTATTTGTAGTGAGTGAAGCACAAAATGAGGTGAGATGATCGGTTCATCCAATTCCAAGTGTGTATAAGGAATAGTTAATGTAATTGTAGGTGTAACAGTCAATGGTAAATCTTGTGTCCTGTGTAAATAATTTCAGCTCAGCATGATTCCTATTTATACTTTACTGTTATTAATGTAATCTCGTACGTTTGAAAGGTATTGGTGTTATTATTTTCTTGACGTTTAAAATTGAATTAATGTGAACAAATGTTTACATTTGTATTGTATGTCAGCCTGTTCGGCTAATGGACGGATGGTCGGTGGCCAACATCATAGGATAATCAATAACGACAACAACCATTGATTGGCATTAATGAGAATAATAACAGTTATTAATCTTTGAAGGTTCTTGAAATCGGAATCCATGCATTCTACGGCGCCGCCAATACCAGCAAAAGCTTGCAGGGCCTCGCAGCAGCTTCTTTACCAGAAGAGGAATCGCCAAAGCATTGCCATAAGCCCTTCTCTCTTCCTTCTTAACAACCGCAGAGGGACTCGAGAACACCCAGAGCCTTCTCACAGAGGCTTCTTTCGGAGTCAACGAGAATGTCGACCACCACGCAAACCATACCCCACTCAGTAAACTTCAATTGGAGTCAATATTTTATTTTTCAAAATTTATACCTAAAAGCACTGTTTTCAACTAATAAACAAATCATATTTATAATATTTATTGGGACGGATTAAGTAATTTTTTTATTGGAAAAAATCACATAACTCTCTTGATTATGTTAAATAACCAACTTAAATTTTTTTTAAAACAAAATATATAAAAGAAATTAACTAAAAATTGAAAAAAAAAGTTACGTAAAAGTCATGGCTTTCTAGTTTTTTTTTTCTTTTTGTATAGAGATTTAGCTAACCATCTATTTGTCAATGCAATTAGAAACATTAAACTAATATGAATTTTTAAAATTATCTTAACTATGGAAACGGAATTTTATTCATTCTTCAAAAGGGAATTCAATTTTTTAATTTTTTTTATTATTATATTTATTATTTTAATTTTTATTGGCTAAAGATGTGAATAGTCAAAATATTTTTTTTAAAGAAAACGTATCAACAATACTATACAGTTACGGTTGATTATTCTCTAATGATATTCAAAGTTTCATTTTAATTATGAACAATACATTTAATAAGATAAGATGCAAATTATCAAATAAAAGTTTAAATTTAATTAGATACAACACAATTATTTTTGTAATGTCTCATTGTTTATGGTACAGAAAAATGTTCATAGTGATTTCTATAGCATGTTCATATTTCCCATCAAACTTCCTCAAATATATATATATCAAATTTTGAATTTGATGGAAAAAAGGATGCAAGAAAGGCATTACAGTTAGTGATTTCTATAGCAATTTTTATACCAATTACTATTAAATGCATAAGACGGGAATACGCCGTTATGCATCAGGTAATAGTTAATAATTTAATGTAAAGTATTAACTATCGTAAGAAAAAGTATACTACCGTTTAATTATGGGGTACTAGATCATTAAATTACAAATTGCGCACTATTAGTATCTACTCACTTCTACTCTGATCCATTGCCTTCCCATGTGCTCATAGTCATTTACCCATCCATCTACTAACAAATTATCAACCAAGCATACCATTATCTCACATACATTATAAACCATAAACCTAAATAGGAAAAATCCAGCCATCTAACCAAGACAGCAAATAACAACAAACTATCATACTATTGGCCAATCACAAAAGCTTAGGATAAATAAGCAAAATATCTACCTTTCCCTTTATTAATGAGATCCAGAGCCACTGTCACTATAATACAGTATATACAGATGAATTAGAGAAACAATAATTGGACTTTAACTTCGAATCACATTTAAAATATACTTCATCAGTTAGTACCGACACACTGTAATCTATGTTTTGTATTGTATGGGAGAAAACAGAACTCATAAGGATAACCCAATGCACACAAGGCTCAACCTGTTGGGCTCTGAGGAGGATACACCTACAAAGCTTTCCTCAGTTCAAGACAAAATGGTACCTTGAGTCCACGTAGCTCTCAACATCCCAGAGAAAAGAGCCAAAAGTCACAGCCTCTAAAACAAGTTTCTTTAAACCACCAAAGCTAATTTTCACGTTTTCATCCTTAGAGACTGACCCCTCGGGTGTTACAACAATTTCAGGTCTTCCAAACAGTGCCTCTGTGTGCTTCTCAATGATGCTGATAGCCTCTTTGGATCTAATTGTTGCATATCTTTGCAGGGTATCTCCATCAAGGGACATCACATAGTTGCGCAATCTGGTTGCCTTTATACCATAGCTAAATCCACCAGGCCTCACGTCACCACCAGGCCAAGTAGATACTTCAGGATGCGACATCCCTTGAGAAGTGTCTTCTTCAAAACCGGGTCTTGCATTATCCATCGTAGTTTGTTGAACGCTATTCTCTTCTTCCGTTTCATTTAGAAGAACTTTCATTGTCTTCTCCAGCTGGAACCTTTGATCAACTCGCTTAAGAAAATAACCGTACATCACTGATGCTGCATAGACCTGCCCTACCCTGAATTTGCTGATTTCAGCTGTGGATGTTAAATCTCCTACTTTGTTACCCATAATGAGGCTCAGGTGGTTTTGAATCATTTCGTATGCTTCACGTGAGTGAAGCTTCTCATGTTTACCATCCTCATCTGGCCACAAATCAATCTTACCAGACAGATCTGGGGTTACAGATGGTGTCAAAGAAATATTAGCATCAATGAACTTCTGCACCACAAATGCATACAAGATCTCCTCGAGAGCTTTCCTCCTTTCATTAGCCTTGACCTCGGCAATCCTCCTGGAAAGGTTTGGAAGCCATCACAATGATCAACAACGGGTTTCTTTAAGACAAACATTTTCAGATTTATAAATAAAAGATCTTAAGTGGAACCACATTGAACGTGGACCACATACTAATATAATACATCAAACAAAGCCTTGAAGTGATGCAGAAAATTAAAGTGAGTTTAATTTATATTTCACTACTCTTGTATTACCAGTGGAATATAATACAGTAAGGTGTGTAGTTTGGGAAAAATTCTTACATATCTAAACGTACAACACCTATAGCCAAACAATAAAAAAGCCAAAGCTTTGAACACGCGCATCATACAAATTATACTTCACACTAAACCTTAACCATAGAGAACATCAGAATGTTTTGCTGCCATCTAATGGAATATGTTTCGTTCATACAAGTTATGGATGCCAAAATGAGCAAGGATGAAAGTTTGTCAGATTTATTACGAGAAACTCAAGAGAGTGTGAGAAGACATGAGAATGAAACAAACCTGTACAAAATCTAATCCGTGCCTGAAGCAGAAGGCTCTTCCTTTTGTTGATCAGCATCGCGGTCAGTTTGGAGCTGCTCAAGCTGCTGGTCTACGGCAGCAGGGACAAGATGCGGGTGATCTACCAAAATCTGAGAAAGAAACTGCCCAATTGGAGACTCCAACTGAAGAGGAGCAATCTTGGCATGGGCATCCGATTCAGATGACTCGGGAAATGACGAAGCTGCTCTAACTACAAAACCTCTTCTACGAGCTTGCTTGGGGATAGAAAGTGAAGTGAAGCAAAGCTGGAAAACATCAACAACAAAAAGCAGGTGAATGATAATTAATCAATGATATCAATCTCTTGACATGGTGTTTGGTTCCATTTATGCTTACTTCATTTCACTTACAAAGTATCGTGCTATGTCAATGAGATTAGAAAAGCATTTCCGATTCCCTGATTCCAACTATTACCAGGAAAAGATGACTAAAACGGCAATCCATCAGATCACCTCACGACAATAACAGTTAACAAAGAGAACACGTAATCAATCACAGAAACGATACCTTTCTGGAAAACCTAGAAGTGGAACTGAGGCGAACAGAGGCGGAGGCGCTGATCGGTCTTCCGAGGACTATCGCCGGTGAGCGGACAGCAGTGATTGCCACGTCCATTTAGACGTCGGAGAGGTCACCATGAAGCTGAAAGCTTAATGGATTCAGAGACGAAATTAACAAAGTAAGCGAAGAAGAAACGAAACCCTAGAGAAAGAGAAAATGGTTATCAATCAACGATTCTATTCGATTCAATTCAATTCAATTCCGGTGTGCGTTTTGCGTTAATGGTAGAGAGACCTTAATGCCACGTGAAGAAGGATTTATAGGGCGTCTCCTGTGCTTCGCGGGCCCACAATTGCGTAAATGACTATTCAACCCTCGGAACTAAATTTCACAATTGGTTTAGTGATGAAATTAGCTTTGGTTTATCTTAAGTAACTCAATTATGTTAATAGGTGAAAAGTTTGAATGATTTGAGTGAATCCAATAGACATGTAGTATTGATAACAAAATGATGATTATTGGAATTTGATCACTAAGGTTACAGTTTTCATTGTTTGGTCCTTGTAAGGGTTTATAAAGGCATGGGTAAATCGGAGAAGAGGAGAGAAGATATTATTTTAGTGAGAAGGAGAGACACGTTTGGATTAGAGTGTTCGCGAATGGCGTGTAACGTGTTTTTGTGAGGAAAATAAGATCTTTGAGCGTTTTCATTTTAAAATTCATTTTGTGGTGGTGCAACAAAATCACAAGTTATTGAGGTCCAAAATTGGCCACTCGTGCCTCAATTTTGCGGTACACCTGTCATCGTGTATTGTTTTGATTCCAGTATCATTTCTGTTCAAAATAGCCTCCACATCTTCCTCTTTTTTTTCATTCATTTCACTTTAATCCAATTCTTCTATTTTATATAAATAAATGTTTGTTTGGGTATGAGGAGGAGAAATGGTGTCAATTTCCGAATAGATTGTTCCGCATTTCCGTTTCTTAAATCTTCTTTATAACCAAATTTAGAACTTTGATTATAAAGTTACTAAACTATTATCGAAAAAGTATTAAATGTAATAATATATGTAGATAACTATATTTTAAATTTTTATTTATAATAATTATTATGAATTTTTAAATTTTTACCTACTCCCTTCACTAGGGCTAGGGTTAGGGATGTTAAAGTTAAAAGATTACATAGAAAAAAATTAAAATTTGCTAGACATCTTTAAAATAAAATCATAACAGAACTATTTTTTTTACATTGAAAATCATTTATTTTGTGAGTATATATGTGTTTTCTTTTTTTAATTTTCAATTGATCTTGTACCTTCCTAGTTCCATTTAGACCTTTCAACTATGACTTAGTAAGCTCGTGCATTTGATGAATTTTTACAGTTATGAATTTTACAGTTTTGATAAATTTTGGCTCAAATCTTTTTCACTTGCGGAAAATGACGTCTTAACAAATCATTCATTGCTATGAACCATTACTTTGTTTCTGTGGAGTGAAATGCTCTTGCTTTCATGATTACTTCAATTTTCTTCTTTAACTTCCTCTTTTTCCAATATTGTACTCTTGTCGAAAATTCATTGGTTGGTCTACTATACATCTTCTATAAGAGAAACTCGCATTCAGTTTTACAGTTATGAATGACTCGTGTCATTTTGTTTTGCTGGTTAAAATCTCTCCATGAATATAAAAGGGACAAAGAAAGACTTTTGAATTTTTACTTTTTTTATATTATTTAACCTCGTATGAAAGTTTGGCAGGCGTTGTAATGTACTTGACACATCTCTCATGCAGTTGGTGTAATGAGCCCATATATGTAGTTGGTGTAATGAGCCCATATATGCAAAATCAAAAGAAACATCACTTACAATTTCTTCCTACAATAAAAGATATTTGAATATTCAACCATTATTACACTGTCACCTTCAACTATTTAGGCCACATATCGGACCTCTATTGGGGCATGCCGTGTCTGATATTTTTTCATTATTAATGACAGTAATCTTTCATTGGTCACTCTTATTCATTTCATTACATATGATAGATATCTTTCCTTTTCATCTTTAATTTTTGCTTTCCTGAACTAGTCTCTTCTATATGGCATGGACAGAACCTAACGCCTTCGACAGATTCACAACATGCAGAACTTTGCCAAAAATATCATAATAAACAACTTTTGCATTTGTTTGTTCCAGCTCCACAGACATAAATCCTTGTCCATCATAGTAAAACTTTGTGCCGTCTTTCCTATTTTTATCGATGTCTCCTTTCCATGCCTTTGAACCTCCACCACTGGTTAAGAATTGGATTTGACTGCAACAACACTCAATAATACCATCATATAATTACCATGATTTAGAGGTGATTTAGTTAGCAAACAAATCGTTAACACACACCTGCTTGTGCTAATTATGTGTTCCAAGCAATGGTCATGCCCATTAATGTACATATCCACATCATTTGCCTGCAATTTTAATTTCATCGGTTAAGGTTGCATTCATTTTTCACTAGTCTAGGATAGGAATAGGATTGTCTCTAATATATCTTGGCTGAATGACCTCAAGAATTGGCAGAAGCTGCCTTATGAGCTCTTGGGTGTCACCATGGTGTCCTATGCTTCTTATGGGATGATGCCCCACAACAATCTTCCAGTTGGCAGAAGAACCCTTTAATGCTACTTCCAGATCCTATGTTCAAAACCACACACACAGAAAGAAAAAGGGAAAAATGTATTGGATTTGCTTTTTTATCTTAATCCGTTGTGATGATAAATATTAAGAGATTTACCTTTAAGAGCTTTGATAAATATCTCTCCCTTGGAAGCACTCCTCTCCAATCATACTTGTGGTGCTTCGGCTCAAGAAAATACTTGTCCACAAAAGGTGTTGTATCGACAAAGAAGAACTCAGCAATTTCTGTAGAGTTTTTGAGATTAGCAGAATACTTAATGATTGGTATCCAAGATGAGAAGCCACGTTACCAGTATCAACTATGAATGATCTTTTGCAGATCCATCTGGGATCGATTTTCTGAAGGATTGGATTCAGTTGTGCTTCCACGTCTCCCCTGTAGTCGTGGTTTCCCAACACTGAAATCAGTGTCCATCACATTTAATGGACAGAAGAATGGAAGATTAAAGGAATAGTTTAGCTGGCTAAGAATTTTTGCTTATACATCAATAGTTGGTGTGTCTGAACTCACCATTATACCACTGCTTTTGGAGGCTCTTGGCAGTGTAAACTTTTGAGAAGGAAAATTCAAATGCTGGTTCGTCTACACCAGTCAAACCATCGTCGTAGAAATTGTCTCCTGTGGATATCACAAAGTCGATATTTAACTTTTCTGCAACTCTTCCCATCTGACATATCACATAGGCAAAGAGATGAGAGTCTAAAAAGCACCAGCTTTTGCTTTAGGAGAGAGAGAGATCCATTCCATGACCATTACTTTAACCAATTACACATACATCGCAGCAAAAGAACATAGCCATGCGTCAAACGAGCAATTAAAAGGATTCACAAAATGATGTGCTTAATTAAGGTACTAGATTGGAACACAGAATAGAGTTAAGGATTCACAAAGAATGATTGTAACAAAGACCTGAGCAGCAACTTCTGATTGGTTGTACGTTCCTTTCCTTCCCCAGTCTCCAATGACCACAAGACTAAGTGATCCATCCGCTTTGACAGGGTGCTGTAGGCGTTGGAGAAGAGCAGATACATTCAGAGAACACAGACTAATGAAAGCCATCATCCATACACCCAAACCAGCCATGTTTTTGTGTGTGGGTGTCTTCAACTCCTTACTTTGTTGTTATGTAATAAAGAAAAAGATTCTTGCATCTTAAGAGCATATTATGACATAATAGTAGAGTTGTGTGGCTTAACATGATGTCGCGTACGAACTTACTGTATATTGGTTGCACAGGTAAAATTACATAAAAGCTGTTTTAACAATATCGTAAGAAAATCCCACTGAAACAAGCGTTTTTGTCAAAGTAGCGTAGATAACTTATTCGTTCCAATGACACTATGGCCCGGCATACTAATAATAGGTTCTCAGTGGACCCACATATTAGCTTGTGCACGTTCGTTGCAACTTCCTACCTCCTCCACTATTACTAAAAATCCTTTTTGTGCAACGTTTGGTATTCAGATGGCCACATCATCTATACGGAAAATGCCCAACTCATAATATATATCCAAAGTGTAAACCTCTTTCAAAATCGATTTTCTGAAGCTAAAGTTAAGATGGTTTTGGAGCATATTCTATTTAAGTTAACTGAGTCTTTTAATGTATATTAATTCAAAAGTTATATTTAGTTAGCTAGAGATAGACGGAATCATTTTCCTCCAAAGGTAGGTAAAGGGCGGTTGAGTAATAATACTGTTGCAAATTTGATTAGACTCAGAGAAAAACCGACTGATCCAACTTTACATTCTCTGTTCATGCACTAGCAAACTCCCATGAAGTTCGTCAAGATTCAAGGTGCTTGGGTCATTGGATTCCTTAATGGAGCATACCACATAGTTGAATTTTTAGGTTAAAGATATGAGAAACTAACTATTTGGATTCCTTAATGGAGCATATCACATTGGATTCTTTTATTGTTAAAAACTCAAACTCAAACTCACGTCGGAAGGCCTGAAGCTGAGCACGTTTAACCCTTGTTGTACCTTGATACTTCTATTGCATGAAACTCCATATTGCTTGTGATGTATTTTTATTCAACATTGTTTTCCTTATTTTTCGATCAATTGTCTGGAACATGAAATTCTTCACCTTTAGTTCTTTAAGATGTGCGTCTATTACAACTTTCCTTTGAGTCTCAATTGGTGCCGCATTCAGCGTTGGAATTTCGTCTTCCACAAGTTACCATAATTCTTTGCTACTTAAGAAATTTTCTATGGTCATGGACTAGAAGTCATAATGCCTATTGAACCATGGGATAGCAGTTGAACGAATTTTTTTGAGATAGACATGAAATCGCACTGTGCCTTTGATCTAAATGTTCTCTTCACATTGTTTTCTCATCCTGTATCACACTCTTTGCTCACTCTATTTCAGATCCCTTGTAGAACTCTAATACTAATTGATAAGACTCAAAGAAAAACCGATTTCATACAACTTAATTGTGTAGAAACTGCATAAAAAAACAACTTTATAAGCCTTACAAAAAGAAACTAACTAAAAAATTATATACATAATGAACGAAAAGATGTACCACTTATTCCTTCCTAGAAATAAAGGCAGTTATTTAATAGGTAATAAAGCATAAAAAAAGTCAACAATCGTAAGTGAATTTCCTTTTGTACCACCTCATGGGATTTCGGTGTTCTTGCTGTTCTCAAATTTCCAAATTATATCCCTGAATCATTTGTCTTTTAAACGTCCTCAGGTGTTAAAACATAGTCGTATTTTAATGGTGGCGTATAAGAAGACAGTGGATATTGGATATCACCAACGCATGCTTCCATTTCCCCATCCTTACAAATTCTTATCTACAAAATCAATGGATTCAGGACTAGTGGAAATGTTGGATTGCTTTAGATTTAACGAGGTTTATAAACCACATATTCCTGATAACAATTCAATTATTATATTATTGATTGTTAATGTTGGAGTGAAAGCCCTTAAATTTTACGAGTCCGTCTCTGATGAATCACAATGGAAAAGTTGGAGTTCAGACATCATATTTTCATTTCTGTTATACTAAAGCATGACATCAAGGATTGGTTTTGAATTTGATCTCAACCAATTTGGGTCGGTCTTCGTTTTAGAATCTCAACGTCAAAAGTGTGGCTCTGAACTTTACGTGGAAGAATGTAGCTGTTTTGAAGAAGCCAGTCTGTGCAAAACGTTGCCAAAAACATCATAGAACTCAAAGGTGGCATCGGTCTGAGTGAATTTGACGGACATGAAGCCTTGTCCATCATAGAAGAAATTTAGGCCTCTTAGATTCGTTTGTTTAATGTCTCCTCTCCAAGCCTTTGACCCTGCCCCGCTAGTCAGGAACTGAATGGGGCTGCAAACAAGTTCCTTTATCAGATAAATACATTACTTTGGCTTCGTTCCTTCTATAATATCAATTCATTCAGTTTTACCTTTCTGTGTCACTGATGTGTTGAAGACAATGATCATGCCCATTAATGTAGAAGTCAATATTATTTGCCTGAAATTTGAAAGTAAAATCAGCCCAGTTGGTTAGAGGAACTAGGAAATTATTTTACACAAGGAGGGAGACGAGGATCATCTTCAGTTCTTAGCTTTTAGTTACCTGAAGGATCGGGAGCAGCTTCTCTACAAGTTCTTGAGTATCACCGTGATGCCCAACACTTCTAATGGCATGGTGACCGACAACAATCTTCCATTTTGCAGTTGATTCCCCCAGTGCCAATTCTAGGTCCTGAAAATGATTCAAAACACTATTTTTATTCCATCTTCATGTAATTTTCCAGTCTGCAAGTTTCATATATTTCAAATTGTTCAAATGGTTAGCTTTTGCAGTAAAAAAGTAAGGAATCGTGTATGCATACCTTGAGTAAGTTGTTAACATAAGGTTTCTGTGGTCCAATGCCACGCCAATCGTACTTGTGTTCCTTTGGTTCAGTGAAGTACTCTTGAACAAAAGGAGTCGTGTCTACAAAGAAAATCTCAACCAGCTCTGTAGAAGAAGTACATCAGATTACTGCAATGGTTGGTTTTAACCCCTAGAAGATAAACCCGAAAGAAGCAAAGACAATACCTGAATCTACAATAAATGATCTCAGGCAGAGCCATCTACTATCCATTTTTCTAAGGACTGGGCTGAGTTGGGCTTCTGCATCACCCCTGTAGTCGTGGTTGCCTAACACTGCATCCACCATGATACAAAAGGTTATGCATATGACAAGATCTACTACACTCTGCACTCTAATGTAACTCCTTTGTCGTCTTCATCATTATTTGTTTAGAAAATTACCGCTATACCACCGCTTTTGCAGGCTTTTTGCTGTGTAAATTTTGGTAAACGACTCTTCAAACGCGTTGTCGTGTTCACTGATTAGTCCATTGTCATAGAAATTGTCCCCAGTGGAAACTACAAAGTCTACATCGTATTTCTCTCCCACCTTTCCCATCTGCATGTTCATTTTCAGAAGTAAAAATGACATTTTTCATCCGTTAAAGGATGCAACCAGGAGCAATCTATAAGACCAGACGCTATAACATGCTAGAAGATGAAAACGAGTTAAATAATGATACAACACCTAAATGTTTCGGATGAAGAAACATAAAAAGAAACCTGAAAAGCGACTTGTGATTGGTTGTAAGAGCCTCTTCTGCCCCAGTCACCGACCACCAAGAAGCTAAGAGAAGCACCATGTTTAGATGAGTGTGGAAATCTCTGGAGATGAGCAGATGCAGAAAGAATACACAGGGCAGAGGTGACGATGAGGGTGAAGAGAAAGGAGATGGACATGGTGAGTGTGGTTGGAACAGCAGAAGGAGCAAGCTTTCTGGGATGACGTGGAGCAACAACGTAAGACTTGAGAGTAACTATGGAGAGAGACGATGAAGGAAATAGAAAAGAAAAAGATCGTATCCAATGATATCGAAGGAAGTGGGTGATGATATATTCGAATATGCCATGCAAGAGTGGGACGAATCAGCATATTCCAAACCCATCTCACGAGAAAGGCATATGAGGCAGAATATTCGGATGCTATGCTCTGCTGCTCCTCCTCTTACCAATGGAAAAAGTTAATGATATAATTACCACATTTATGTTAATAATAAATATATTACCTAATTAAAACTCATACGTTATAAATTATTATTTTACTTATGTGTTGTCTTAATTGAATGGATTAATATTTTAGCATTAAATTAATTACGATTAATGATAATAACTAAAAGGATTGGCTAGAAAATTTTAGAAATTTTAAAATTAGCAAATATTTTTGTAAAGATTGAGACAGAATGATGTTTATAAAGACTAAACATACATGTGTGTATTTAAGGAGATTGAACCATTTGATTTAATTTAATATCAATCAATTAAATTCTCATCTCTGTCGCATGATTTGAAGCTTACAACCTTTTTAGCTCATTAGTCTTTTTTTCCCCTATCAATCTAGCCGAGCATGTTGAATCCCTACCCTTTTTTTTTCTAATTAAAATTTACAGTAAAAATAATTTAAAAAATTAAAATTTACTAAAGAATAGAAGCACCGTCGAGACAGAATCATTCCGGAATCCATGAAAGAAGAACCATCGAGACAGAACATGAACACAAGCAAAGGAATTACAAATGTTTGAAATGGAAACAACACGCCAATCCTTTATCCGAGCATTGGTGATGATATGGCAAGCAAATACATGATGAAACCAAATACGTGTAGAAATTATTTACAAAGTACCACACGCTAACTAAACCAATACAGAAAATACCTGCTCATATATTCAACGTCATACGCTGAATTTATTACCAAAACATGGTTGAAAATTTTTGTCTACTGATTGGGACCCAAGAGTAAGAGAAGAAAAGCCCTGTAGTGGCCAGATGTTTCTGAGTGGACTGCGTCGTTGAGCGTCTTCTTGTATTTCTTTAAATATTCTGCTTTGATGTGTTGTAAATCAATCTCAGCTCTTGTTACAATCACCCTTATAAGTCTTGTGTCATCAGTCCCCAAACCTTTCATTGCCTTGCGCAACATCTACACGGTGCAAAAGTTGAATTTAAAGCAAATCTCATTGTCTTGTCAGTTAGAAATTTCAAGGAGTTGACTTGTGCTTACAGAACCAACTACTACAAAAATCACCAAGAAGTTAGAGAAAGAAGAATTGTTGATCCATAATACATTTATAAGTCCTGCTAAACGGGGTTAGGATCCTCTCTGCAGTATAAAAATCAATGTCAGCCTTCTGAACAAAGTAACTGACACTGCACACTGCATTGATTTTTACCCTTGAGAGGCTCATGACCCTGCCAAAGCCTACAATGTCTGAACTCCATGAAGATATGTAGTAAATGATCATCTTCGTTCAAGTTTCTAACATTTTCAACTGCATAATTAATTTGTTTCAAAAACTCCTTGCTAAAGTTGCTTACAGATTTTTCAACGAAAAAACGTCTTAACAGTAACTATAACATAATCATCTTATCTTGCACCAGTTTTCACTTGATTCTCACCATCATCCTATCCTTGTTTCTTACGAAATGAAGAGTTATCATCGAATGAAAACGTTGTGATCCCCTTCCAAGTATAATGGCAATACGAGAAGCAACTACACAAAATTCAAGCCAGGGGGAATACCTTTGCAAAATACTTTGCAGGATTCGCAGAAAACTGAAGAATTGTCAAAAGTGAGAGAGCAAAATTTCCTGATGTTTCCTTCTTTACTGCCTGTACATATTCAAATGGGATAAGCACAAGAAAAACAACCTTGGGAGAGACTACATTCAAAGGAAACAAAAAAATGGTAAAGATACCTTTTTCAATGAGTGTCCATACATGCTATTGTAATAATGATCTACAGCAGTCAAATGTGCTGCACTCCGTTCACTAAATATTTGCACAAAAGTTTTCTCATCAGTTCCCAGCCTCTTCTCCCCTGCTTTGTAGAGAACCTTTGCATCCATCTCAGCTATCTCTCTATTTACCTCAGGGCCTTCAGAACGCGGAATGGTTAAATAAGCAAGCAACATCTGCATCAAGAATTTTGGATAGAAAGTAACACGCTTTATTTGAATATACAAGGAACTGAGAGGTGATTAGTGTAGAGAATAAAGGGAATGAACCAGAATTTTTACATCAAATGTGATCTACGACAAACAATTGAACACGGTTTCCCTCAAGAGACGTGCAATGCAATGAAACACACCATCATATTTGAATTAATGGATATACCGGAAATTTAGTCCCCTTCCATCCCACGGTTGACTTGAGATTGAAATCTTGGAACTGCCATCAAGCATTCAATCTTTTGTATGGATTCAAAAAATTTTGTTGGCGTTGCTGCTATATTCTTATTAGAAGCGCCTATAAATCCGTTGCAAGTTGTCACAAATGGTTGCATCGAGTTTTTCTGTTCCGTTTAGTTATTGATTACAACTAACTTGTTCTAGAGGATTGTTTGGAGATTATTCTTTGTGATCTTGTGTCTAGTGACTATATAGTTGTTATTCTACGGTGGATGTGTAGAGAGGAGAGGTTCATTTCATGTACTACTCGGTTATTGAAAGAATGAGAGAGAAAGGAGGAAATAGAGTTAAGAACTGGGTTTTCTTGTTTTTTGTTTCTGAACAGTGGTGATACAATGGCCAAGTGAACACTTTTTGTACAGGCTTGATCTTGTTCTCTTATTATCCGATACTGAATTATTTTGCTCCTTTTCTCATGGATGTAGGTCTTTAAGATTAAATCATGTATATCCTGTATTCATTTTTGTTTATTTTCCCTTGTTTGATTTTTTTGATTTAGTTTGTTTCCGGTTTTGTCGTTCTTGCAGTTGGGTGCTTTATTCGTTTCTTGACAAGTTGCAGGCTAACCCGATTACATAACTGGACCCTTGCCTCAAACGATTTGGTAAAAGTCATTCATCTGTAAATTTCTGAGTAGAATAGAAAGACCACAAGCACATGGAGTCTTAAATGGAAATATCCACCAATGATTTCAGAAATATACTAATACACCTCTGGTGAACATTGAGTCATCAGACAAGCATATTGCAGTTTTAATTTCTTTAGCATCAATGCTGCAAGGGTGCTTAGGAATCAAAAGAGCGCATGACTTCAGAGGCCAACAGATACAAATCTTAATATGAATAATTCTTGATAGCGAAATACAGACAAGGAGAACGAGAAGATTCACCTTTTTATGATCCCCGGAGGCGTATCTTTCGATTTCATGCTCCAGATAAACACCAAATTTAGTGTGGTAAACCTGTCTTAAATACTGGAGCTGGGAAGAAGTTCGCGAACATAATACTTCAGTGGTGGCTTCAAGATTTTCCGCAGTCAGGCACTGCCTGAGGATAAGGGCATCACGCCCAGCAGGGTCATGCATCCAAAGCAGAACTGCTGTCTATGGAACCATAAAACACAGGCCAAAGCGAAGCAATTAAAAAGTGTCGGAAACGAAACACACGCACACACAGTCATATACATACACACATATAATGATGTGATAAGCAGAGGAAGGCATGTTTGTGATGAAGTAAAATCGAATCCCTAAGAATAAAAGTACCTCCAATTTGCCAGAAAGCTCAGAAGATAAACGTTTGAGAAGGTCGGTGGAATACATTGTCCTGAATTCATGTTGTATATAGGCACGCTGCGTGGCATCTCGATGAGCAAGTATATTGATGACAACTCCAGTATCACATCCAAATCCTGCAAAAACGAATCAGCACAAGTAATTTGGATCTGGAAAGAAATTATTTGTGCATTGATTGTTTGTGCTATGAACATGCATGCGTAATTAATTGAGCGAATTTAATGGAGTGAATTAACGTAATATTGTGGAACATGAGAGAAGGAAAAAGAAGCCATGAGAGAGAAAATGGTAGGACCTTTGAAAGCGGTATAAAGAGCTATGGCGTCGTCTCTTGGGGAGGGAGGAACAGGGGGTACATTCAAGGTCGCCATTTTCGTATCCAAAAACAAACTCGTTTCTTCTTTCAAACGCAGACCAAAGAGCAGAAGGGGATCGGTTTTTGATTCATCAATCACCTAATTCACCACTTCTCTTACCGTTCAATCCTCAAATTAATAATCTTAAATATTATTTTTCACGCAACCATTCAATTTAATATTTTCTCTTCTACACACGTCACTATTTTATATTTATTTAATATTATTTTTTAAAATATAAAAATTCATTCTTTCATAATAATACGTATCAAATATAAATACGTGTCATTTTATACCACGTTCTCTCAAAATATATGTTAACAATTTTTTTAGTCAACTATTTTATTAATCCATGTATTTAACACGGACATCAAAGTTATAAGCTATTATATAAACGGTTATAAAAAAACTTGTAAAAAAAATTATTAAAAAATATTTTCCATAAATTAAGCCACTTCAAGGACAAAGTCTTGAGTGGATTCAAAACAATGACAGCCAGAAGTCAATTAACATTTCTTTATTTATATTATTACCCAGAGGAGTGATGTGTAATTTGTATTCCTCTTTTGGGAACCTTCCGGTACTTTCTTTTAAAAATGTTTTTCTGACAACATATAATTTATTTAGATTTTGATAGATTATAGTAAAGTAAAAAAAATATATTCGGACGTAGAGACGTAATAGTAGATAATATAAGATATTATATATATATATATATATATATAATTTTTATGTTTATTTTTGTAATTTTTTAATATTTGACATTCTGTTGTGGCAAACTGAATTCGTGAAACAATGAAACTTGGTAGGATAAGTATTCACTTACGTTACTTAGACCAACATTACTTGACCAATTAAAAATAAGGTAATAAAAGGAAATCAATTCTACAAATGTAACGTATTTCATGGTTACATCTGTGTCTTTTTTATAATACTTTTATTCAATGAGGATGGCC